CCCTCGCCCCCCCCCAGGCCAGGCTGCTGCGGGGAAGGGGAGACAGGCTGCACCACAAAGCCACAATTCACAGTGCGGAGCCAAACAGGGTTGATTATTGGTCCTCAAAGAAACGGAAGGCAGGAGAGTCCGAGGGAGGGCGAGGGGGGGGTAGGGTAGAGATGACCACAGCAATGACCCCCAATCTCCTGGACCCCCCTCCAACCTCTCATTCCTCTGTGGAGGAGACCCCTGCAATGGATTCGCCCCCCACGTCCTCCGTGCAATGACACAAAACCTTCCCCTACGCAGGGGTCTCCAGCTGGAGAACTTTAAGGCTCATGGACTTCGACTCCCAGAGGTCCACGGGTCTTAAAGCGGAGTAGAGAATTCTGGGAGTTGAAGTCCGCAAACCTTTTGAGTACGGAACCCCGGGAGCTGAAGTCCACGTGTCTTAAAAGTGGCCAAATGTGGAGACTTTGATTTTGGAGGCCTCGATCAACTTTGGATCCTGGCTGGGCCTTTTCCTGCTCACACCCACCCTGCGAGGGAGGCCTGGGCTCTCCTGCAGTCTCCCTTCACTTGCAGGACTCATATTCCCCCCCCCTCCCCTCAGCCCAGCATCGGACCCTCCTCTGCCTTCTTTGCTGCTACGCTAGAAAAAGCCGGGAGTAACGGGGAGGGGGGCCGGGATGGGAAGCAGTGGGGGTGCCAGGGACCCCGAGACCTCAGCCCAGGCTAGTAGGCGTGGTCGGCCACGTAGAGCGATTGTCCAGCCGCCCCGGAGCCGTCATCGCTGCCTTCATACTTGCCGAGAGCTGCTTGACCGTTGACCTGCAAGACAAGAGAGGGCTATTGGGGAGGGGGGGTCACGCCTTCCCTTGGGGACCCTCCCCACAAGGGCCAGCCTTTTGCAAGTGGCAACCAGCTCTGTTTCTGCCCTGCACCCCAGAAAGAGCCAGGGACCCCAATTAGGAAGCCCCCCTTCCTGGGCAGTGGGGGCACACCCCTCTCCCCAGTCACCCACCTCCGCTCGCTTGAGGAACTCCTCCGTGGCCAGCTCCTCGTTCTCCCGCTGGCCCCGCCAGGCATTGAGCGCGGAGGCTTGCAGCGCCCGGCCGTAGGAGAAGGTCAGGGCCCACGGCCGGGGCAGCGGGCAGTTGTTGATGGCGTTGAGGTTGATGGAGGCCTCCTCCTCGCTCTGCCCGCCGGACAGGAAGGTGATTCCTGGAGGGGCCGAGAGAAGAGCTGTAACCCCCGGACTCTGGACTGCAGGGGTCTCCAACCTTGGCCCCTGGAAGACTTGTGGACTTCAACTCCCAGAATTCCCCAGCCAGCTGTGCTGGCTGGGGAATTCTGGGAGTTGAAGTCCACAAGTCTTCCAGAGGCTAAGGTTGGCGACCCCATTGGTCCAGCAGCATCTCTGGACCTGGTCAGCCCTTGCTGGGGATTCCGAGTGTCCAGCAGGATCTGGCCAGACCCGGCAGCTGGATCTGGCCAGCATCTGGTGAGCCACGAGGCCCTCAGCCTCCCTGGATTTCTCTCGGCCCCTTCGAGGCATCGCAGTTGGCAGCTGTCAATTCATCCTGTGGCAGCGAGTTCCAGGGACTCAAACGAGAAGCCCTGTCGTAAAATCATCCTGGGCTTATAATACAGCTAGTCCTCATTGTACCACCACAACAGAGCCCAAAACTAGAAGCCCTGTTCTAAAATCATCCGGGGCTTATAATGCAGCTAGTCCTCATTGTACCACCACAACAGAGCCCAAAACTAGAAGCCCTGTTCTAAAA